ATCGCCGAAGCGGGTTGATATGGCTCTCAACCCATCTCTGCATGTCGGAGGGGTTCCCGGAGAGCGACACGGCCATGGACCTGACTTCTCTCAGCCCCCCATCGGCCCACGATGCCCTTTGCAGCCAAGAATGCACCCGTCAACGGGTGGCATGTCCCAGCCTGTGTGCTACTGGGAGAGGAGGGGTTCACCCTCACAAAGATGACAAGGTCCGGAGACCATGAAGCAGCAGAAGGGGTCCTTGTTGGGGCAGCTATTCTGCGCGGAACAGGGACCAGTCGGCCGGGGGCCAGCGAACCCAGTCGTCCGGGCCTCAGTGAACAAGCATTCGATCCAGTCTGTGCCGCATACGGCGGGGACTTTGGTGTTGCATCGCATCGGACGGTTGGTGGGATGCCCGTGCGTAAGCCCTTACGGATGCAAATTGCTGCCCTGGGAGTGTTGCAGTATTGCCCTTGGGTGGAAGCTTGTTGGTTGAAACTGGTGGAGGGACAAGAAGACATCCCGTGGTACATACTGGAAGAAGGGGTTGCTGAGTGGAATTGTGCAGAGAAGACGGGGTGGTTGCTGCGCCGTTGAAGATATATGACCGGGATCATGGGTTATGGACCCGTTTCTGGGGTCCTGGACACCACCCCTTGGTTGGAAGAAGGGTTCGCATCCCTGTCGAGCACTTCGTCCAACCTCCGACGCACGAGAATACAACGGGCGATGAGGTGAGCGAAAAGCCTGAGTTTGGCAATTGCCAGATGCGCGTGTTGTTGAAGCCCTGTTGTCAAAGTCTCATCGGGGTTGGAAAGGGGACGAACGATATTGGTCAAAGTCTCTTGATCGACAACCACGTCTCGGTGAACTCTTCAACTTTCTCTTGATTCTTCGTCCCTCACAACTTTCATTCTCACCACCAACTCTGATTCAGTCGTTAACAAACATCCAAAATGTCATCGCCGAAGGAAGTTGTCTCGGACAACGTCCAGGAGACTTCCTCCGCCGACCAAACACCAAACCCAGTTGCGCCCTCTAGCCGCGATGAGCCAAAGGAGAGCATCGAGGGTGCCAACGAGCCCATACCTCACCTCCATGCAAAGACTTTCTTGACGGTCTTCGCCGTCTGTGTCATCTACTTTGCCCAGCTTATCAATGTCGTCGGCGCAGGAGCAGTACGTGTCCAACGTCGTCTTCTAAACCAAATCTCGAGATCGAAAAACTAACACTCCCAACTCCTCAAGCAAACCCAAAACCTCGCCGCCGTCCTGGGCGACAGCTCAAACAGCGTCTGGCTGACCTCCACAATCGCCATCATGACCGTCGTTCTCTCCCCCATCGTCTCCCAGGCCGCAGACTACTGGGGCCGCCGGTGGTTCCTCATCGGCCTCACGGCCTGCGGCATCGTCGGCTCCATCGTCGTCGCCCGCGCCACCTCCATGGCCATGGCCATCGCAGGCTTCACCGTCACCGGCTGCTCCTACGGCGCCCAGCCCCTCCTGCACGCCGTCGCCTCCGAGGTCCTCCCGCGCCGCTACCGCCCCTGGGCCCAGGCCGCTGACAACCTCTCCGCCGCCCTCGGCGGCCTCGTCGCGCTCCTCGGCGGCGGCGCCCTCACCCGCAACGGCAACGCCGCCGCCGGTGTCCGCAACTACTGGTACATGGCCACCGCCGTCTACGCTGCCGCCACGCTGCTCGTACTCGCGCTGTACAACCCGCCCAAGACGGCCAAGCAGACGCAGTTCACCTTCTCGCAGAAGCTCGCCAAGCTCGACTGGGTCGGCTACGCGCTCCTCTCCTCGGGGCTTGTCCTCTTCTGCATGGGCCTCTCGTGGTCGCAGAATCCGTACCCCTGGACCGACGCGCACACCGTCGCCCCCTTCGTCGTCGGCTGCGCGCTGTGCGCCGCCCTCGCGCTCTACGAGACGCGCTTCAAGACGGACGGCATGTTCCACCACGGCCTCTTCCGCCGCGGGCGCAACTTCCCCATCGCGCTGGTCTGCGTTTTTGTCGAGGGCCTCGTCTTCTTCGCGGCGAACAACTACTTCGCCTTCCAGGTCGGCGTGCTCTACGAGACGGACGCGCTGCGCACGGGGCTGCGGTACGGCGTGACGATGATCGTGTACGGCGTCGCGGCCGTCTTGGCTGGGCTGTGGTGCTCCAAGACGAGAAACGTGCGCTGGCCCACTGTTGTCGCGTTCGTGTCCATGATTGTCTTCTTTGTGTGCATGGCGACGACGACGCCGACAACCTCAGAGCCTGTTTGGGGGTACCCTGTGTTCCTGGGCATCGGTCTCGGAATCTGTTTGTGTACGCTGGTCACAGTAGCGCAACTGTCCACGCCCCCTGAGCTGATTGCCATCACAAGCGGTTTGATGATTGGGGTCAGGTCGCTAGGCGGCTCTATTGGTCTTGCAGTTTGTAAGTTTCCCCCAATACGTCTGCAAGACGCAACAACTTGAAGTTGAAGGGGTTGCTAACATGCACTGTTATAGACAACGCGATCTTCACGGACCAAATGTCACACATGGGAACCAACATCGCCGCCGCCGTCCTCCCGCTCGGCCTTCCCCAGACATCTCTGCCGCAGTTCATCGGCCTCCTGGCCGCGCAAGACACTGCCGGGCTGGCGCAGGTCGAGGGCGTCACAGTCGACATCATCCAGGCCGGAGCGGGTGCTCTGCTGAAGACGTACAGCCTCGGCTTTCGCTTCGTTTGGATCGCGGCCGGGTCCATCACCGTGGCCGCTGCCATTGGTCCGTTGCAATCCCATCTAAACTATTGATTCACGTGCGCTAATGTCAATCATTTAGGGGCTTTCTTCCTGGTGGAGCTCGAGAACGAGTTTAACATGCACATTGATGCGCCGGCGGAGAAGGATGATGACTTGTATTCCAACAGGTCGTGAGGTGTTTCTACGATTATTGCATCACAAGAGATAGTCCAAGCCACGCTTGGAACTACAGCCACGGGCTATTAATCATTAATTAGATTGTCACGGGACTTAGATACGACGGTTGAGATAGTTACGAGAATGATGAAGCGTAGTTTGCACCATCCGAGGCGCCGCAACCTGCACAACTCGACTACTGACTCGTCTGAGGAAATCCAGTTCGTCCATGCAAGAAAATGACAGCCAAACACCAAAAAAGATTTTGTCTTCTTCGCCCCAAACCCGTCGAACCCATGCCAACATCGCGTAGCAAATTCTGCAACTCGGTGACCAACACCAGGTCGCATTTCCAAGTTCCCAGTCCTGCAGACATCGTACGAGGTTGCATATACCAATGTCGGGGCAGGGTGGAACCGTATCCGTACTTTTGTCGCTGTTGGTGCCAGGTTGAGCAAGAAGCCAGCGAAGAAGAAGCAAGGGCAGGGGCCGGGATGCATGTTGCGAGAGAGGTGGATATTTCTGAGATCGGAAAGTGGCCCCTCCTTTGCTGCCTTGGTCCCGCGTCCTCGTAGGGATGCCGCCATCACCCACCACAAGCAATGTGCCTCTGAGAGCATTCAACTTGAGAATGGACGGTATTTGTGTTTATCATTTCTGTACGTTTGTACGGTCGTCGTTGAGATGGCGTCCTGCCACAGGTACAACCGTGAGAGTTCGCCCAGGCATGTTGTCCTGAGATCAGTGGACTGCCGAGAGCAGGGGATCCTCGCTAGCCTGGTTTTCATGTTCTGGGGAAGCGCGAAACTTTATCTCTTGGGAATTTTCTGCCCGGCAATTGCTGTTCTAGAACTGTCATGCTGCGATGATCACGCGGCTACAACTTGCGTCGTCTCATCTTGCAAGGTAGAAGAAGAAGACAGGAGAGGAAATGATTTCCTTGTGGGAGGGAGAATATCGGAGGGCAGCAATGCGACCTGGAGATGCTGACCGGGGTCTCTCAGAGTTGGATTTTGGGCTGGCACGGTGGGTATTCCGGCTATCCCATCGGCTCCATCTGTGAACTTTTGGTCGGCAAGGGAGCTGCCAACGACTGGTTCACAGGATCTCGTGTGTTGACGACCCGCCGAGGAGGATGTTCTGATGCAGGGGCCGGAGAGTGTCCTTGGTTTTGCAAGAACCGTTCCTGGATTCACTCGAATGGAATGTTTGCCGCACAGGGCCGATGGAGGCCAGAGGCAAGCCTCATGGCTCGGGTCCTCGTGCTTCGCATTCATGTGAAGTAGCCATCATGAACTGGCAGATGACCTACGGAGGAACTCCGGCAGGCGACAGCTTGGTGAAACGTCTCTGCAGGGCATCATCGCGTTCACGGATGGTTTCCCTGCCCTTCGGGCAAACTTGAACCCCGAGATTTCAGAATGCACCTTGCACCTGAGCATACACAGCCACAAGGACGTAACAGTGCATACGTAGATGAGACGCAGTCGATGTCCTGGAGTGCTGCTCGACCAGCGCCGGCAGACTCCCTTCAGGATCACTCCTAGAGCAGCTTAGAAAATGTATTATGAAACACGCCAACCGAGAGCATTACACAATTCTTTCCTCAATTGTGCAATAATCTCAAAGGCCGCTCGCCACGAAATCGAGCGCACTATTGAGATCATTGGAAATCATCATTGACGAGTGTCTCGGCTTTTGGCGGGGCACTAATCCCGTTCCTGAACTCTTGAAGAAGACGCATCAGGATGCACGTGCTTTTGAAAAAAGAAATATGGGATGGACATTCCTGCATGCGGCGGTTTCTCCGACTCCGTCAGAATTAGCGTATGGCCTTAGTTCTGGGCAGCTCTAAGTCGGTCCCGAGAGGATTGTGGTTGTGAACTCGATCTGATGATGTCATCATTCTCCGAGCGATCAAGGCGTCATCACCACATACAGACGGACAGTACGTCAAAGATGACGCGCATCAGAAGCAGATGCTCTCTTGTAGGATACAGGAAATCTGTTTATATGATCTTGGAGTGTCCCTGGGAACTGTTAACACATTCGTACCTGCTTAGCATCACATCACACCGCTCAAATTGAATCTCAAGTCAACATCGAATTCTTAAAACAATTCAAAATGGCCTCCAACAACCCCATTCACAACGCTGCCTCCGCCGCTGGCGAGAAGAAGGACACAAGTCCCTCCAAGCCTAGCATCATCTCATCTGAGGGCGCCATTGGCAAGCAATTCAACCCCGATGGTAACATCGGCCAGATTGGTAAGAAAGCAGCATCACTTACCACGAGCCTATTGACCGATAAGAATACAGGCGAGAAGATTGGTGGTCCCTTGTCCAAGGACGGTGCCATTGGAAGCCAATTTAACGCCAGTAAGGGCGGCATTGCGGGCACCGTCGAGAAGGCTGTGGATGATCCCAGGAACCCGGCGAAGAAGTAGAGGATCGACAATGAAATATTGTAGACAGAAGCGAGAGTTGCATGGCGTAGCGAGGATTGTAATATAAAGATCTCGGGTCAAACATGCAATCATACGTCTCCTAAACCGATGTCGTGGAGTGAACGAATAGTCAATCTGTCTTTCGAATCACGATATTCATTGTATCATATGCCTTTGCATCCAAAGGTCGAAAATGTGAGTATTACTTCTATCCATATCACCAATAGCGTGGTTGTTAGACATGCATTCTGAATCACGAATGTCAATCAAACTTGATCTATTTCGTCACATTGTGAAGATGGAACATCCTGTTAGGCTAGAATTTAACGCGAACTTTAGTTAAGGACAAATTACCTACGGCATCTACTGTGTTCTTTACAACTTGCTGTGACGACGAGCCAGCACAGTCATCAACTTATTATTGCCCAAATGTGCGCTCTGTACTAGTACCCAGCATAGTATGCAGGCATCTTGTTTTCGAGGGCATGTAGTTCTAGAAATTGTACTCACACTGAAAAGCTCCTCACGAGTAATAATTGCAGCGACGTGAGCCCCCTGATCTCACGCTGTCGGTATCAGCCGCCTTGGCTTCGCCTTGTCCCAGAGTATGCAGGAAGGCGCTGACTCGCGCCCAACATACCCTCTTTGACTAAAGAGCTTAATTTGGACAACAGCTTGTAAGAGTGTTATTCTATCTTCATGTCAATCTGAACAAAAAGTTGTTCCTCTATGAGCGTAAGTTGCCGTTTATTCAACCTTTCCTAGTAATTACCACCAGCGCTGCCGCAAGTGCAATCAATTTAATTTTGCCCCCTATACTCATCAACTTAGTGATCTTTTTCCTAGGCTTTAATTATTAGCTAACTTATAAGTATAGTAAGTTAAATACTGTAATAAATAACGTTATCCTTACTTCTTAATTAAGTAATAAGTAAATAAAGTTATGATATCTTTAGTAGCTTAAAATAATTCTAAAGTATTATTACTCCCCTCTTTAGTTAGTTTTTACTTAGTTAGAAAGTTTCTATAATATTTAGTATTATTAAAAGTTTTTATAATAAGAAGTTTAATTTAGTAGTACTAAAAGTTTTTTTATAGTTAGTTATTATTAATTAATAAACCTAAAATATTATTATATTTTTAGATCTTTATTATACTATTTTATAAACTAATAGTAGTTTAATTTAGTTTTAAAAATCCTCTGGTCTTTATTAAATAAAAATCTTAAACTATAAGATTGAAAATAAAGCTATAATACTATATATATTAAGCTTAAATATTAATCTTTATTATCTCTAAGTTATTCTATTGATAGAAAGCTTAGAAATAAATATTATTATTCATAATATTATTAATAACTATTACTCTAATATAATTCTAAATTTGATACTAATTAATAACGCCAAAAGAAATCTCTATAAAGCTTTTATTATTATAATTTCTAAAATATTAAGAAAAAGCTAAAAAATATACTCATAAAATACTTTAATTATTAATAAAATAATTAATAACTATTATAAATATAAATATTAAATAAAGATTGTAAATTAAATAATAGATATATCTTTAATATTTCTAAATAGAGTTTAGCTATTATAAAAGTTTTACTATGTTAAAAAAAGTTTTAAAACTAATCTTAAAAAAAGTTCTAGTTTTATACAACTTTATTAGTAACTTCTATACTATAATACTGAAATACTTATTAAAATAATATTTTTAAAATAAATAATAGATTAATAGAAATAAGAGAAGTAATATAAAAGTTTTTAAAAATTATAATTTTAGTTTTTAAGATATTAATATTAATAAAATAAAGCTTTTTATATAGAAATATCGTTAGTATAAAAAGTAAAAAAGTAAAAATAGTACTATCAAAGTTTCTATTTAATAAAAAGAGATTTTATAGATTTTATAACTATTTTAATATTATTAAAATATAATTTATATAGTTTAAAAGCTTAAAATAATATATTAAAATAAATATTTTTATTTAGTAATAATGATAAAAGTACTAAATAGTTATAAAGTTTCTTTTAAATTATATTATGAGTAACTTTAAAAAGAAGTATTAGCTTAATTTGATATAATTTTAATAAAAAAATAGCTATAATATTAAATCCAACTTAATTAACCTCTATTTTACATCTATCATAACTACTTTTTAATTATATACTTTTAGTTATCTATAATAATATAAAATAAGTTATTAATTATAGAAGTTAAAAAGATATTAATAATAAAAATAATTATAATTTAAATTAAAGTTTGAATATAAAAAGTACTTAAAACTATAACTATATATATTAATAGTAGATAAACAAATAGTAATAATAATTAATATTATAAGAGTTATAAATATATAAATATAAATAATAAAAAAGATATAAAATAAGAAGTACTTTTAATAAAAAAAATACCTAATTATAATATTTTTTATATTATTTAAATTATTATAATAACTTCTATTTCTTTAGAATGTTTTAAAAAGATTATTTAAAGTTTAATATTTTAAAAGTAGTTTATAAAATATTAATTAGATATAATGATATTATAAGATTAATAATAATATTATATTTTAGTAACCATATATACTAAAATAAATAAAATACTAACTAATCTATAACCTCTTATTAATTAGATCTATTTATAAATAAGATATTAAGTTTAAAAATTTAATTAAGGAGTAATAAATTACTTATTTAGGTAGTAGCGATAGCGTTAACTTAGCTAATTAGCTTGTATTACTTGCTAAGTGACTTGCACTTGCGGCAGCGCTAATTACCACCAGCGACTTCGTTCTTGCACCCCAGTTCGGAAGGATATTTAGTAGAGTACTCGGAGCATCCTGTTGACCGGCCCACTCTACACCGAACAGCCATCGGTTGACATCGAATTCCTTAATGACCGCCTAGCAATGACGGACAAGTTCCTGGCGTGGAGTAACACTGTTAACTCACTTCCCATACGAAACGGAAACTACCAAACCACCACAGCGACTGCGATCTGAAAAGTATCTCATCCGATATCGATGTAATAAGCCTCGAACATTGACAGCAGATAATGTTTCCTGCTCGTACCCCAGAGGTGGACGCAGGGGGATCCTCATGGCCATGCCGCGGAGACCTTGATGCATCTCGGTAGGAAAGGACTTGATATCGAAACCACCGACTTTTTCAAGGATTCTATTCCTTTGGACCCCCATCCCTGCGTGTGCCTAATGTTGGCGTTCGCAAGGTTGACCTTTGAAGAGTGGCTGGAAAGCGCGATCATGGTGATGAGTGCACCACGTAACTGGGCTGGTAGAGTAGCATTCGGTGGTGTCGTAGGCGAGACTGTTTTGGGGCGCTTTCTTGCACAGACGGACACAACTCCGTACCGACTTCCTTGTATTCCCAGATTTTCTTTTTGCGGAGTCAGGGGTCAAGATTGGGTGCCAAAACCAAGGTGGTCGCAGTTGGCACAATATTGGATGGCGGCCCACGCCGATGGCACAGGCACTGCATCAATCCTTCAATTGCTATAGCGGACTATAGCGTCTTTCTCATATCATATGCCGAAGCTTTATGCCTCATTGCCATGATTGATATCCTTTGGAATACCCCGACGTAGCAGGTGGTAGGTCTTCCACTTTATACCAAGGCAGCGTTCAATCGCAAGGAGGGGATAGAGCCATAGTCAGAACTGGCTGAAAGGGGTCGCCTAAGCCTTCCGGTGGACCAAAAGAGGTGGAGGTGTGGTTGGTGCGGAGCAAACCGAACCGACTACTCTGCTCATGATTCAGACAAACGCCCAAACTTCCTGATTTATTTTGGCAGGAGTCGACAGTTTCACAAAGGAAGAGCCGTTTGCACAAGAACCATGATTCACTCACCTGTCAAAGTCCACGACCCTTTCACCGGTCCCATACCAGTCTACTCAGGGAGGTCCACTTCCAAGGCGCATTTACAAATCTGAGGAGTGGATAGCGTACTAGGGGCCCCCAAGCTCAGATCACAACATCCTCGAGCTGGTGTGGTCATCTCCAGAGGAATTTGGAGATTGCTGGGCATCTGGGCTACGATCCAAGCTAATAAGTATCCCAAAGCAATCTGTGAAGCCCGACCGGAATTTCAAAAGCTTCGAGAAGTCCCAAGAACACGGAGTCAGAAACAAGATCCTGCGATCGTTCGTTATGTGTCGCACCATCAAACGCATTGCTGCATCGGACCTACTTCCTGGGAGGCGGTTGGCCAACTTCCTCAGCGCCAAGGTTGGATTTGCAACCTGGTTGGGAGACGAAGCCCTCCTCGCGCAGGAAAACTCCCTTGTTCGTATGGGGGCAGTACCCCTGTTTTTGGTGTTGACCCCGGAACAAGCTCACCCTGGCTTCGACCGGCGGGTGATCCGGTTCCACATCCCGGGCAACCTAGCCAGGCACAGGGACCCTGCCGACATTTTGAGACTGGGACCCCTTGATGCGAGCGATGCGAACAAGGAAAGCCCTCAGCCGAATGTTCAGCATGCGGGTGTCCGACTGCATGCAGCAGCAGATGTGCTTGGCTGAAGAATTTCAATATGATGCTGGTCGAACGCCCCTCGCATGCATATGTTCTCGGGATCCCGCAGTCGACTCCATGATCATTGCGGAAAGTCTGCTTCTTCCCTCGCTTCTTCAATTCGAGTCACTCGTTCCCTGCCCCTGATTACGCCAAGCGTCTTGTGAAAAGCTTCTCAAGATGGTCGCTGGACCGGCCGTCTCGGCTTTTGTGACAAGCATCGTTTTTACGAGTCTTTCTTTCATAGTTGTTGCGTTGAGGTTGTACACCAGAATCATTGTTGTAGGAAATGTTGGAGTAGACGATTACTTGATTCCTGCAGCTTTGGTAAGTTGGCCTTCTAAGACGTTGAACGATGGCCTTTGCTCACACTAATGAAACAGGCCGCATCTATTGGATTCTCAGTGGTTGTTATGCATCGTAAGCTGCCTCCCCCTCGACCAGAAAACGCAAAGCGACATGGACACGTGCTTACCTACAGCGCGGCAGAGATCAAGTTTGGTTTAGGCATGCCGATGGCAACAATTACGCCAGACAATCTTGTGAGATTTCTTCAGGTAATCCCCTTTAAGTCTTTCGTATTATGACACGTCCAAGCATCTGACCATTGATACCAGTGTCTCTGGGCAACAATTCCCACATACAACTTGGCGCTCCTGTTCTGCAAGCTTTCTATCATTTTCTCGTACCTAAGAGTCTTCAAGGTCGCGACGACGCAGAAGATCTGCAAGGCAATGCTCGTCGTCCTCGCAGTTTACGGAGCATGGACTGTTTTTGGATCCATCTTCATGTGCGTTCCTGTACAGGCTTTCTGGGGTGATGGCACTGGCAGGTGCATGGATCGTTTGGCCTTCTGGTTCTCAAACGCGGCATTGAATATCGCAACGGATATAATCATTGTCGTTATCCCGATCCCCTTGATCAGAACTTTGCAGATTTCAAGGAAACAAAAGATTGCGCTCATCATGGTCTTCGCCGTTGGTGGCTTGTAAGTACCGGCGACTCACGGCTTCATAACGAAGCACAGCTGACGTTGACTTAGTGTCTGCATTACCTCCATCATCCGCCTTCGATCTTTGTATGAGATCTCTATCTCTCCAGACACTTCAAGTAAGAAGCTCCCGATTATTGCTCATCCCATCGCCTGTTAACAATTAAAAACAGGGGACGGAGTCCACATCGCCACGTGGTCTGGAATAGAGATTAATGTTGCCATCATCTGTGCTTCTGCTCCGGCACTCAAGCCACTCATCGCCAAGGCATTCCCCAAGTTATTGGCCAGTACGCAACGCAGCAACATGCGATCTGGCCAGCTCTACGGAAGAACCGCTGTCGAGTCCCATCACATGCAGTCCATGAAGAGCCGCACGGGCAAGAAGCCTAGCCACAACATCGCGATCGAAACGAAGATTGAAGTAATGAGCCACAGTGGGAGTCAGATGAACCTGGTCAGGACAGGTGGGAACACCACAGTGGCAGAGTGCTACTCAACCGAGGAGCGTCCACCAGCACAGGGCCGAAGCATGGTTTAAACCACCATAGCGTGCCAAGTCAAAACCAAGAAGATCCAAAATGCAGTTTGTAGAGCTTAAAATATTTAGAATTAATGAACCAATGTGTTACATAAAGGTGTCATTGGCCTCTTTTTTGAGTATCTACCATGGCCCCCTACTTGCTCCCGCACGTCTAGAAGGTCTCTTGCGCCGGTCTCATGTCCAATTCATGCGTCCAGAGAGAACTTGGCTGCTGTGACAGCCAAAGGTACAGTTCACCAACATCTTCCGCCTTCATTCTCTTGCCGGTCTTCGTGTCTTCGTTGACTTCATCAATAATCCCGCCATTGGCGATAGCATGGATACAGTGAACACCAAACTTGCTGTGCTCCTTTGCAATAGCCTGTGCCACCATCCTCGCCGCCGCACGAGAAGCACCGTAAGCAGCGTACTGCTGATTCGTGCGCATGGCCCCGAGAGTGCCCGTGAAGATGATGGTTCCCTTCTTTTCGCCATTCGTGTCGGCAAGCAACGTCTGGCCGCCGTTCTGAGCGTACATGACCTTCATCGCCTCCTGAGCGAAGACAACGGCGCCCGTAGTGTAGGTACTCATGCTATCGTTGAATGCTTCAGCCGTCTCTTCCAGAAATGGTTTTCGGCTCGAGTTTTTGACATGGTAAATGGCAAGCTTCAGCTTAAGATCCTTGAAGTCCGGGTGATCGGCGATTTGCTGAAAGGCACGCTTGAGATTGTCTGGCTGAGTGTCCGTCAGAAAAGGGTGTAGAATGCCATTAGACGATTTTCTCAGATCAGAGGCAAGGTTCTGAAGGTTGTCCGCATTACGAGCTAGCAGTGCAACTGCGAGGTTGCCATGTTGTGGGCTGGCAAGTACACGGGCAATACCCGCGCCTGAAGTCGGCCCAGCGCCAATCAAGATTGCAAGACCTTTGGGTGCCATTGTGCTGAATGAGTATATTGTGAAATTTTAGAACTTGAGTTTTAGATAGAATTGACTACACATGCCAATGCAGAATTTCAATTATTCGAATGACCCTTTTATTGTGACCTATTCAGTATAAAACATTCGGCTGGCGTGAAGAACGTCATCGATCATCCGATCGGTGCTACCGTGGCGCTCCATATTTGCCGGTGGGAGAGATCAGCACCATTCGGGGATAAGACATCATACTGACGTTGAACAGCCTATGCCCGAAAGAGTATCTGCAACCTGCTGACAGAGCGGAGGCGCTCGCAGCTAACCCTACAAGGTCAAATGGTTTTATTCTGAGGAATGGAACGATTTGAAATTGTCTCCGGATGAGCACGCTTCCTGAGACTTTGGACCACCTTGAGCAACGGTTTCATGTTTCTTTGAGTGGTTTTTGTGTGAGGCAACAGAGCCCAGGAGTTGTAAGGGTCTAGGACAAGGTCGATGCCATTGGTCTAGCCTACTACTACGAGTACAATAAATCTTCTTGAAGAACAGGATACAGAACTGTATCCTCCCTATTTCCTGGGCATTCTTATAACCTTGCCATTGACCTTGTCGATATTCCTGGAACCTTCTAGCAAATGCGCCATTGGATTTGGTGGGTCCAATGAGTCGTGGCTGAGGGTCTTGCCGAAGGCCGAACACCGGTCCATAGACCGTGACAGGAGTGGTCTCAGGGGACAACCGGCTTTAAAACTACCCTCGGTACTCTACCAACGCGTGAAGGCTTTCCCGGCACCCGCGCGGTACCAATTCGGCTTGGAATTTGAATCGTGGAGTACCGCCCGGATCCGGGCCCGGTGATTTTATGGGACTCTGTGCGGTATCCCGGATCTCGAATTCGTAAACCGGGGGCCGCACTCACGGGGAACGCACCAGGATATCGGATGACAAAACGTGCTCACACACATCGCAAAAACATTCTTACTCACTACGATTGGGGTCTCTTCATTTATCTATCTACGATCATGTTTGACCGTGGGCGGAATACGCTTCAGCTCAGGACATTCACAGATCACACCATCACCAAATTGAATGTTTGCTTTTTACTTTTCCGATTCAAGACTTCATTTGAGCCCAAAATGCCGACTGTGCGAGTTGAGGTGGCATAATGGTCTGCACGAAGGTACTTGTGACATGAGAATAACGGTACTCATGGATGTCTGGTGGACCTTGCAGACAGACCCATGCCCTCATGCAGATTCTTCCCACACACGATTTAGCCCCAAATTGGTGATTCTTTGACAAAACAAAAACGCGCAAAATGTCTTAGAGACAAAAAGGATAGATTCTCCAAGGGCATAGGCATACTGCAGGGAAATCAATTGGATCTCAGGAAGGAGAATCGGCCCTTAGATACCTTGTGAGCATGGGACTCCACTCAGGCCGAAGTCGGCGACACTTGCTGTTCAGGTTGGGTAATGTTAATGATACTGGCGGGCCCTGGGTGTCACCCTTATTTATAATTCATCAAAAGGTCCGCTGTTTCCTCACAGCTGGTTGGATTAGGAATGTCTTGTCGAGAGCCTTTTTTGAATCAGGAAGTCCTCGACGACTCACAATTGAGGAACGTGCGCGCCGTTCCACTTCCCCGGACCACGGTGGGTTCGATTGTCCGCTGCGATGCCGCTTTGCGGGGGACAGCTAGATAAGAGTTTTCGTGTTGTCAGGTATCCAAGATTGGAAGAAGAGTCATTGAAATAGACGGTCTGCAGATGCAAAATATGGGGGGGGACTGGAATGGTTTCTCACAATCACAAAACCCCATCACTTTATTCATAGAGCTGTTATCCTGAACAACAACCAGGTCTCCGGGATATGAGCTTACTGGACGACTCGCGGCGTTCCTCGTGAGACCAACTTAGTGCGGCAAGTCCGGGGTTGTGTCAGGAACTATACCCGCAAAACCACGCGGGAAATCACCCAGGCCAGTGGCAAAGCTGTCCGCGTCGCTATCAGGGGCGCTCGTAGATAAATAACAGCCATTTTAACACCCGACTTGGCTTCGGCTGCCTTACAGTCTCCCTTCACGACTTCCTTTTCCTCTACCTCAAATATCACCATGGCAAAATCATCGAAATCAGCCAATGGCTCGCATGAGATGGCTCCAGTGCCATCTCATGTCGGACAGGTCCTCGAAGACCCCTCGGTGACGCACGATGCCGTCTTTGGCGAGATCACAGCAGATGGACCCAATTATCGCAGCGTCAGTACTCCTCTAAGCTACGATTGCCCCTTTGAGAGATATGTCGTGCTGACAACTTCTAGGTCGGGTGGTTAGGGACATCGGTCTTGATGATGAAGACTCAAATCGGCCTCGGCGTTCTTTCGATGCCTTCGATCTTCGATGTTCTTGGAATCGTCCCAGGCGTCATCATTCTTTGTACTATTGCAGGAATCACTACCTGGTCAGATTACATGGTTGGAGTCTTCAAGCTTCGCCATCCACAAGTATACGGGATGGACGATGTAGGAGAGCTGTTGTTCGGTCGTATCGGACGCGAAGTCTTTGGCGCATTCTTCGTACTTTGTAAGTTGTCGTCGTCAGAACTAAACTCCCGAGAATACTTCTGACAGCACAAGTCTTCACCTTTACTGCTAGTTCTGCCATGATTGGTGTTTCTACGGCCTTGAATGCCGTCTCCCATCATGGAGCTTGCACTGCCATATTTGTTGCTGTGGCCGCAATTGCTAGTTTCTCGTTAGCCAGCATACGAACTCTGGGCCGCATTACATGGCTCGCATGGGTGGGAGTCACAAGTATTATGGTTGCGGGTAGGTTGCCACCCTTTCAGACCATACGCGAAGAAGTCTAACGTCCACACAGTCTTCACCGTGACTATCGCTGTTGGCCTCCAGGACCGCCCTGCCGCAGCGCCCACCGACGGCGTATTCATGTCTGACTTCAAAATAATCAACAACCCTACCTTTACAAAGGCCATCTCGGCCATATCTTCAATTGTCTTTTCCTACGCTGGAACTGGTGCCTTCTTCCCGATCGCCGCAGAAATGAGGGATCCTCGATACTACACCCGTGCCCTGCTCCTCTGCCAGGGCGTGGTGACTTCTGTTTATGTGGCTGTGGGGGTCGTCGTGTACTACTTCTGCGGCTCTTATGTCTCTTCGCCTGCCCTTGGCTCTGCTGGACCCTTGGTTAAGAAGGTCGCGTATGGTCTTGGTCTTGCTGGGCTGTTGGTCTCTTCAACCCTCGTAACTCACGTAAGGAAAATATCTTCAAGTCCTTGGATGTCTTACTCACATTTTCATAGTTGGCTAGCAAGCATGTTTTCGTCCGCATCCTCCGTGGATCGAGGCATCTCACTGCTAACACTGCTGTTCATTGGCTCACCTGGCTTGGGTCTACCTTTGGTGTCACTCTCGTAGCATATCTTGTTGCTAGTGGCATTCCCGTCTTCAACAGTCTTATCTCCCTCGTCGGTGCACTCCTGGGCACTTTCATGTCATTCCAACCGATGGGTTGCATGTGGCTTTACGACAACTGGAGCAAGGGGAAGGTAGCACCAACATTGCGGTGGAGACTGATGGTGGTTTGGAGTGTATTTGTCATCGCATCCGGAACCTTCCTAATGGTTGCCGGAACTTACAGCACGCTTCTTGGTATTGTGGACGACTACAAACAGACAGGTGGTTCTTCAGTGTGGTCTTGTGCCGACAATTCAGGTACAGTCTAGAGTCCAGGGATCAAGATGACAGAGACAATCAGGCGAAAATTTCCGTTCAACCTCGTTGAAACATACAGCTATTCACTCGAAAATTTGATAAGGTTGTCTAAAATCGGTCTGATGGCTGACAGTAGGCTATGACATTAGGTCCTTATCGTGAAGGGATAGCAAGGGGCTGGGCTAACGCGTGGTCAACCAAGTAAGGGGGCTTGATGATAGCTCCGCAGATAACAAACGTCAAAATATAACATGCCCGATACGATAGATTATGCCAATGCCTGTCTTCCCCGTACTAACCCCAGAAAATGTCACGCTCCACCTTGCTGTACCTGGTTCATCAGGTTTTCCGATTGGCCCTGGCGTGT